TTACTCATGAATCTGAAACTGAGCTCTTATGGCAGGCTAGATTGTAGTGCGTCATATCAGTTTTCTCTTTATCTGAGGCAAACTGTTTAACCTCTGTGTGATGAGAGGTATGATTCGCCAAATTATCTATAGTATTCTTCAACTTATTGAACGAGGTTAACTATAATTTTTCTTTGTGATCCTACGGAGCATCAATGTTTTGTTTAACAACACAAGTACATAAGGTAATTTACCTACTGGATATGCCATTTACTGCAGATACAATCCCTTGAAGTCCTTGAAAACAACACGATCTGTACTTTCTTAAGAAATTCTTTCAGATGCAACCAAAAAGATCAACAAAAGGTGCCGTTACCTGGTTGAGTTTTAGCTTTGTGAATAAATCCACCCTTCGAAACTATGCACTTGACGCTCTTTGGTGCGTTAAAATGTGGGGTAGACATCGGAAGTAACCAAAACACGTGTCCAGAGGCTATGAATTAATTCACCTTCTGAGCGTCAGATTTCACGTGTAGTTTCATGTGACTTTTGATGACCTTTGTTGTAAACAAACCGGCAAAGTTCGAACATTCGTTCTCTGCCACATACTGTACTTGTACGAACTACATAAGCTATTTCAAGTTTGCGTTAGTTTATAAATGTTATTTCCCTTTCGCTGTTTGAGACTCGAAAAGTTTAAGGTTCATAAATGTCTGAGCAGAAGAATAAGAGCGATTTTAAGGCCAAAAATATGGCAGAAGTTACGGCAGGAACGAGGAGTGCTTCCAGTGGAAATTCTCGTCTCAGCAGAAAATGGTTTTAACATTGCAACTAAACCTCGAAAGAGATAAAACCGGTGATGTAGGAAAATTTCATGATACATACATAATTCACATTTCAAAATTCATGATCACACGCGATCACACGCTATAAATGTGTCTGCTTCTTCAAGTTTAGATCCACCGTGCAAAACCATTCTTTCAACTGAAGAGGAGATTTCTACGCGCTTGTTGAAACTCCATGTACCGGCGAATATTTTTTTCTGTTTTACCACACTCGAGGCGGTTAAATTCTCTCCAGATCTTCTGCTTTGACATTTTGAACCTTAAACTATTCAATTTTTCAAACAGTGAAAAGGAAGGAAAATATATAAGTCAACGCGAACTTGAAGTAGCGACTCGTAGTTCGTACATGTACAGTATGCTAGAGAGAACAGATGTCCGAACTT